ACGTTCGTTTTCTTACCGGCGCTCGTAAAAGCCACATTTGCCTAACCATACGAAAAGGGAACCGACGAGTTAAGCTCGATTTATATTCCGGCTAGCACGGCAAACAATCTCGAAAACTTCTAACCGCATCGCCCCGCCGAGCCGCGCCGCGCCGCGCCGCGTTCGTGTCCCCAACGAGAGAATTCCGAATCAGCATTTCCCGCCTGCGGAGCTTTAAGCTTTTCTCTCCGCCAACTTCGGGAAATCTCTCGAAATCAGTCTCTCTTTCCCGGGCGCTTCTTTCCTTAAATTGTGGCGATGTTGAATTCGGCGCACCCGCATGGGGAAGACAGACATCATGAAAAAGAGACGAAGAGAGAGGAGGCGTAAGAGGAAAGAGAGGAGACCGATAGCGAGAACCGCGGAACCGCAAGCTTGGCGAAAGTCCGAAACTCATCTCGATTTCCGCTTTCGAATTTTCACGCTTTCCGACGAGATAATGGGCTTTTGGGTTATCGTTTCCCTCGGGAAATACATCAGCTGAAATGTAAGCATTGCGCCGTTACGCAACAATAATCATATAATTAACTTTACGGTAAAAAAAAAAATCTGTAAAAATATGTATATCATTTTGTATAAATAACGATAATAATAAGAAAGAAAGAAATTATTTGGAAACATCGCTTTTCTGAATATTCTCAAACTTGATAATATTTTTTTGTATATATAAAATCGAAATTCTATTGATTCTTCTTCTCTTTCAATTATGAAGTCGCGCGTTATATCCCCAGGTAATAAGAGACTTTTCTCTGACCAAATCAGATCTGACAAACGATAGCCTGGAAGAACTGAAATAAAAGCGATTTTCGAAAGAAGAGACACGAACAGAGGGAAGACGGTAGTTTCTGGAAGAAATCCACAAACTCGGCAAAATGGCGAAGTCCGAAATCCATCTCGACCTTACATCTTCAAATCTTGTCTTTCTAGCGAAATAATAGGGTTTCCCGAGTATATCTTGTGCACAATATTTCATCCAGGATACGAGTGACGCTGTTCGTTAAGCTCGGCACCAAATTATTATTTATTAATTGTTATATTATTATTACATGCGAAAATTGCCATTATTTGTTAATTATATTAATTGCGTTTTTTACATTTTTATATTAACAACGTTGCCGAGAAACATCAGCCAGTTGTATGCAAAAAATGCATGATGAATAATTTTCTTGCAATTTTTTGTGCTAACTCGGAAACGTAGCACTTTGCTGTTTATAGTGTTGTAGCCGACAACTTATCTCCGCGAGATTATTTTATCAGTATTAAACTTTATTTACAGCAGACTGCACTACGCGCTACGAGTCAAACTTTTGAGTTCTGTGCGGGGTTTCAAACTTACAAACAGTAAATAAACTTTATTTGCCGAATTAGCTCGGTATTATAATCAAATATTGCAATTTTCGTCGTGACAATCACCGATTTTCGTAGCAATTGCAATATGCATTTTAAAGTTACTTATGGAGGATTTAATGTTTCATACCACGATTTCATGAAATTCGAGAGAACGAGTGTTTCTGAATAGTTACATTACGAGCGACTGTTAATTGAACACGATTCATTGGACAATGACAAATGTGTAGGTTGATTGGCATTATAAACAAAAACTACCTCTTTGTTTGTTGCACGAATGATTGAATTCACTGACGCCAATAATCATTATGAATACTAATAAACGTAAAACTTAACTTACATTTATAGTTATATCTGATAGTCAAATTTAATATCTAACTGAATATATATACTAGCATTAAAACGATAAAAAGGAAAAGAAACAGTGAGAGAAAGATATCAAGAGTGTTGTTTTTTTATAAAAAGACTCTCTATAGAAATCTTCACAATAATTTAATCTCTGTAAAAAATTATTTTCTAATAAGATATCAATTAAGAATGTTTTTTCGTTGAAAGATACCTAACGCCTTTGACGTGTGCAAAATTATATGATTTACATAAAGACAAATAAGTACAGTTTCTCGAGATCTATTGCGCTATAATTTCCTCGGTAAAACTTTCTCCTTTTTTTTCCATTTTGACTTTTGTCAGATCCGTACGAGTATTGTCGAGTAGGTATATATTATACGTATCTGCAACGTTTTGTGACAGCCACGGATGATAAATCAGGGTCGTGCGAACATTTTATTGGAGTAGGCATTCTTCTCGCCGTGGAAGAAAGTTTTTGCCACTTTGCGTGCTGCACCGTTCAATTACACGGTGACGGATAATTAATGCCAAGCGGTGCGCGGCCTGATTTATTACGAGTGATGTAATTACCGGCGCGTTCGGACTTGCGATACGCAAGAATTTCACGGAGGCTACGATTTGAAAAGCCACGATAATTTCCATGCATGATTAATAAATATTGCGAATCGATTGTCGCTACTGTTGTTATACTCATTGGATAATATTTTTACTCTTGTTTCACTTTTTGATGGATTGTTGTTGATTATGTTGGGCCTCTACTCTAGTAATAAATATTTTAAATCAATTAATATACGTATAATTGCATTAGTGTTTTAATATTTCTTATTTATTTAATTAATTATGTTAATATTATTAAAATAAATAAATTACATGAACAGCGAATCCGTCCAAAATCTGCACCTGAAAAATCGTCATTTAATTAAAACTGTTATGTAAAACTGTAATAATTATATTATTTTTATATATTAAGATTTAAAAATGTAATTTTGTTTTATTTTATTTGTTATTCCATTTTATTTTAAGGAAAACATTAACGTTATCGAACTCCAAAATGAGCAGAGAATCCGTTAATACCACAATCTATTAATTTAATTTACTTTTTCTAAGGAATATGTTAGAAGAGGCAGAAATTAATATTTCGTTAGTATTAATGCACTGAAAAAAAAAATTTGTTAATTCTAAAAAATATTTAGTCCGATACGAGCAACTAAACATTTTAGTTAACTAAACATTAGTTGAATTAATTAATTCTTGATTAAAAAATTTTAAAGGTTGACATGAATGCATTATACCTTTTTTAGTGTAACTTGATGATTGTTAAAACAACTAATGTTTAGTTAAACTAACTAACGTGTTTAATTACTCGTATCGGACTAAATACTTTTTGTGATTAACAAATTTTTTTTCTCAGTGTGAAAATGGGAAGAATTGGTCGATATATGTATAAGTAGAACATATGTAAGATTAGAACATACCACCATATGATGTGTATACTGTATATATTTACAGGATATAGATAATTTATGATTATTAATACAATTTTATTATAATATCCACAGCGGAATTGTAATAACAATAATTATAATAATTATGAAATAACTAATTAACTAATGAGACGGATTAGCTCTTTTCATACTTTCACAGTTTCACGAATTACATATAATACAGCTTCAACTTTTATTGTATCGGCATAATAACGAACTTGTGCTAAATGCCATTGTAATATTTTATGAAATTAATTTGACGCAGGTTTGATTGATTTAATTAATTAACGCAATATGAAACTCTTTCCTTGTTCAAAACGTATTAAAAATTATTCCTACTGTTCCCGAACAGAATTGTTATTGCATAATGTATCTTCAAAGCTTGTTCACTCCTCCGGTATATTTATTCGTATTGTGCACCGTGTTAAATGCGCGGGCGTGCTTTGTGTGGCTCGAGGTTTGCCTTTAGGGATAAAATTAATGAACTTGTGGTTTTGCCTTCTTATACTAGTTATACGAGCTTACCTTTCTCGGCCCAAGTTACCGGAGCGTACAATGACCAAACGCCATCCTAGAAAAGCTCAGGTCGTGTTCAGACCGCGTAATACGAAACTGTAATCAGACTAATGGCACTATGTTATCTTTCTCTCTTTGTGAAATCGATCGTACAACCATCGAAAAGAAAGAAAAGGAATAGAAAGAGAGAGAAATAAAGTCGTTCCAGTTTTGAATCATAATAATAAAACCAAAGTACTCGTCAAGTGCCAGGTAATTTGAAAGACCAAGCATTCTAATAATTATAGTTATAATGGAGAATAATTTTAATATCCTCGGTATGATATTCTTCCCTTTTAAAGTAATGAAAAATAATCTTGGACATTATTTATAAATTTTAGAGATTAATTTTGTTGTGAGACGAAAGAAAATCGAAAATGATCGACTTGCACATTTTATAGAATTTTATAGAAAGAAGCGGGAAATATTAGTCCTTTCCTGTGTTTGTAACAGTAATCTACGAAAGGATTAAAGAGGTTTTATATGGTCAATTACTCTTTGTATATATCATGACGGGGCTCAATATATACATATATACAATACGTTAACATCTACGCTACGCTTTCCATGCGGCGAAGTTTAAGACGCATTTACGGTAACGCGCGTCATGATATGTGCACAAAGCAACTCATTTGGGGCGCAATAAAAGCGAATGCGAATTATGAATGATGTAAGTCTTGCGTAGCCATAAATGCGGGCATATGGAGCGTAATTAACGCAGCCTGTCCGAGCGGGCACAAGCTCATTATCCAGCTTATGTAAGCACCAAATTTTATTGATCAACAAAGGATTTGCACGAATTACGTTGGTTCTCCTCGAGCATTCTTGCTCCAGGATAAACAGGACCAACCGGCAAACATTAGCTAATCCCATGCAAACAACATCGCGAAGACAATCTGATTAATGAAGCCACAACTCGTCTATGTAGGTACTTACAATGTAAATATAGTACGAGAATTAATATGCGCGCATACGTGTAAATATAGATGTCAGTATGAACATGTAAACGAGAGATCGTGCACAATGATCCCGATAAATTGTTCTCTCACAAGTTTCAAGCCCCAATCCTTTATTAATCTTTAAAGTCTCTTAAAAGTCTTGATGCATTATAATATTTTTATCATATTCTATGATAAAATGACATTTCTCTGTATTGTCATATTATTTTAATGAAATGTCATCTTATTAATGAAATTTTCTAAATGTCGTCTTGTTAATATGTTTCAGGCACTGCCACCGCCAAAGATGCTACATCTTCGAGTTGGTTATAGCGGAGAAGCGTACTCGAGACTTTAGAAGACTCGATAGAATTCTGGTAAGTTCTGGTGACTTAAATATCGATTTCATGCTTTAAGAGAATCTAAATTACTTGCACCATCGAGACCGATCGGCTAAATCTTTTGATAAAAAAGTTTTTAAGTGAAGTTTTCTCTGCGAAGTTGAGTAGTAAGTCGACACGCTGTAATTGGATTCTGTGAGACTCACCTATACGAAGGGTATAAATATATAAAAGACACAATAAAATAAGTAAAAGGAAATAAATAAAAAAAATTATATGTTTATATACACACATGTATACACATATTTAGCAATAGATCAACTTGTTACAAAATACATATAGGGGAGGGTGGGGGAATTGGGAACACTAAACTTCTAACGCTCAAAAATAATAGAGAAAAGTTATAAACTAAATCAACTTTTATTGCTACATAAACTTTGGTTATCTATGTACTTAGTAGTCATAAAAAAATTCTTAAAAATTTACGTTTTAATAAAAATATAAACAAAAACAAAAAACATTGCCGTTCTTATTTACCCGATATTCTATGGGGTAATTGAGATCATCCCGCGGGGGAAATGGGAACGGTATGGGGTAATTAGGAACGACGGTTAATCACGACATATATTACACATATAACCTTTACTAGTCTCACCGGAACTACATTGTTCATGTGCCCAGAGTTGGCAAACGGCGCACTGGATCCAATTTTCTTTCGGTGGAGATTGATACTTTGCTGTTATTCTATTAAGTGAAGTAGCTTCTGGAATCCGTAAGCTGATGGAAGGATGTCGAGACATAAAGCCATAGTACCAGTCTTTGCCTACCAGCTGGGTTTCTTTGTTAAAATTGTGTTGCAGTTTGTTAGCTTCAGCAAATCGAAAAGCAAGTCTACGTAATGAATTTGGTGTTATGCCATAAAAAGACTTGCAGCAATCAAGTATGTATTTTTCTAGTTGGTCCTCTTGTTCTTTATTAAATACCGCGTGCCGACCTTTTTTTGGTGTCTTTAATTCGTTTTGTTTTAGTTGCTTAAATAATGTTGTTTTTGGTACTGAGTATTTGGTAGCAGCTTGGCCCAATGTGAGCTTTTTATTTTTAACATCTTCGATTGCATGGCGAAGATTTTCAATTTGGTACTTTGGTTCAGTCTTTCGTACGTAATTTCGAGGCATCTGAAACAATTTGTAAAGTTTAAACATTTTTACACAATCAACCAGCAGCACTATGGGTAATTAAGAACGCAAGGGGTAATTGGGAACGTTCCCAATTACCCACCTGACGCCGTTCCCAATTGCCCGAAGTAGTCAATATACATCAAAATAGCCGCCACTCTCAACAGCACTTTTGGTTAACTTCAATTTACGTGGGATTTAAAAACAGATAGTGCGTGCATGATAGTAACAAAATATGGTGTCTTTAAACTCAAAAATATGATACTTACATCTATTATAACAAACGACAAAAATTATATCAAAAATACAAAAAAAATTCTTCGACTTACCGTGACAGCACGCGTGCGTCCTTTTACTCTCACTGTCGCGTACGCAATGAGTGGCGCTGCATGCAGCCGTTGAATAGGTTCGGGACGGTGTAGTGCGGGGGGATGTATTACTTATCTAGCTGTTCCCAATTACCCGCCGTTCTCAATTCCCCCACCGTGTGTGTGTGTGTGTGTTTTGTGTATGTGTGTATTTTGTCATAACAAATTGATCTATTGCCAAATTGCAAAAAAATAAAATTTATATATTTTTTGGATCTCTTTAATAAAAGCAATATTTCTTACATATACTGAAACTAAAGCATTGCAGAAAAATATTTAGAGTTTGTTTGTCATTATGGTTGTTGTAAATATAAAGTTAAAAAATTGTGTTTTTTTAATTATGATTCGAAAATTCTAATTTATCACAACTTTTTGATCTTTTTACGAAAATACATGTTATACTCTAATTAGTTTATCAGCATTTATCGAGAGACGCGCTAAATACATTAAAAATATAGCAAATTCGCGAAAGAGGCGCTAAAGCGTAACTTTTCCCGGAGTATTCACATATGATATGCAATTACAAGTATGGCTTATAAGTAAAATGCAGATTTTTTATCGTTGATCCGACTTGGCTCCTTGCTTGAACGAAAGTTTCAACCGAGTGCTCGAGGATTTTACGCTTCCACGACGATTCAGTGGACTTAGCCGGAAGATTTTCTAAATCTGCTAAGCGACTTTCAAGTATAATCCTTCAGGCATAAAAGCTAATTTTAAATGGCTTCTATCACTTTGATAATACTGCAGAAGTTGAAGAGCCAATATTTTACTGAATATTTAAAATGGAGAACATTCGTAAAGTTCTCTAACTATTCTCATTAATTCGATGATATATACATATTTTATGTGCAATCATAATACAATTTTCCGATAAGTTGTTCTAATAATAATAATCGTGTTATTCTTTGTACTTTTCTATAAAACTGCGTATTAAACATGTATTTATATGAAAACGTAGGACATATTGTTTGAAGAAAAAAATTATATTAAAGACAGGTTTTTGCTTTTGTTTTACTTCTATATTTATTAAAAATACGAAAAATTTACTCTGCAAGATATTAATTCATTTACCAAAGTCTCTTTTATTTAATGAACTGTAAGTTATGGAATAATGTGTAATAAAAGTTAATTAAAGCTCCTTCCTAAAGTGCGAGCTCTTTTAAGTTAATTTCACGATACTGTTTTATAAGAAAATCTTATCGATTATTTTATTGAGACGCACTCTTGTGAATTCCTGTTTGTAAATAGTCTGTATAAAACTCAGCTTTTCAGGCATTTCTTTTGATGCTAGTGTATAATGTGGATTCGTTTGGGTGCTAATTAATATTTTTTCCACTTTCCATAAGAGCGACTGAACGAGCAGGGGAAAAGCATGGAATTTCTACGCTACGTTATATACATTTATATATGGGTCGCCGTACTACAAATAGCAATGTTCATCGTTTAGACTTACAGTCACGCTACAATTATTCACAAAGTCTCTCCAAAAATATCTCTTTTATACGATATTCATTACGATTTTATCATTGTACGTCGATTGGACAAATTACTACAAGTACAACGCGCTTTAAAATTATTTCGTATTATTTGTACGTCAGCCTAATTGTCGCATCTCTACTTGATTTAATAACCATGATCATTAGGAGCCGCGCAGATATCGAATATGCTTTCGAGGGAAAGAGGAAGCAGAAGGAAAGGTCTGCCATCGTGGAACGGGGATTTCGTGGCTGGTTGTACGCGGGGGGACTATAAATTTTCAGATCGTGAAACAGGAAGGCGAGTACACGCCTCAGGTCCCTGATACGGTCACGCACGTGCTTCTTCGCACGCACCGTCTCTCGTCGTGCCCCCCTTGAAATTTTATCGCGGAACGAATCCAACGAAAACGATCATAAAACTTTGCACTTTACAACCCCCAGACTCGGAGAAGTCAAGCGCGAGGGGCTGAAAACCCGGCCTCTCGTAACCGAACAGGTATAGGTATGCCCAATGCTCTCCTCGACTAAAGTCCTAAACTGGAAACTGCGCGCATTTATATTTTAATTACTCTGACTTCTGACGTTCTGACGAGACAAATGGCACCTCATTTTACAAATGCAGCGTGATCCACTTAATTAAAACCGATAACTTAATAGTAAAAATATTAGACGATGAAACACGACTTCTTAATTGCCCAATTAAAGAATCATTGCAAATTATAATTTTTTAATTAAGTTTTCTTATGGGAGACGAAATCGACAGAGTAATTTACTTATATTCATAAAATTTATCAAGATTGTTTTTAAAAGACAAAAATTGCCTTGAAAATTTTAATACGTAATCTTTTATAACGTTCTATATGTAGACAATACTGGGAAATTTATACAGAGACTATATGGTATACAAGAAGAATTATTTTAAATTCAGTTTCATACGTCAGGCTCTTTTTAATATTTAAAAATGAGAAACACAAAGCTTTGCGCCATCCTAATATTTTAACATAACCACATCCGCGAGCTTTCCTCGCTTCTGCACGGCGTGACTGTGAAATACTGGGGAAAGAGGAAGAAGCGCGAATGAAGCGAATCGTGCACTCTTTTCAGCGAGGAAGGCAGCCGGGAAAGATACAACCGGAGAAAAGAGTCTCCCAGGAGGCTCAATGGCGCACAAGAGATAAACCGTTGGAACGCATTGAAACTCCCGCGTAGTCGAGCAAAATGGAAATAACTCGGATCGTCCGTAAGATAAAAAAGCGTCACCGTTCGGATAATTAATAAAGATTAAGAAACGATTGAAATAGATGCAAGGGATTTGATTGAACCGATAAATCATGAAAATATTATCAAACAGTTAATCGCAGTTAAGATAGCAAGGATATCACTACTCTACGAAGAAGAACATTATTTGAGCTGCTTATATTCAGAATATTGTAATCCTAGTTTTATAAAATATTAAAAATTTTTGTTTTATGTATTTAATTAAATTTTGTAGTAACTTACGATAATTTACTCCGCATAAACGAGTGATATATCGTAAGTTACTACAGAAGTAACGCTCGCGTAAACGTAGTATAAGTCTCAGAAAACTTAAATTCTTTATTTAATATTATGTAAATTTTTTTAACAAAATTTTAAATTAAAATTTATTTACCAAGGATATTTGACATCGTTAAAAGAACATCATCAAGTTTTTTCTATAAAAAATCCAATTATGATGAAAAGAATCCTGTAAATTAAATATTGATGTACAATATTTGTATTAAATTACATTAAGTGCACGGCTCTCAATTGTATGTTTCAGGACAAAATGTCGATGACTGGGAGCTTAATGGGATACGAAAACAATAACGATGTGAACCAGGCCAAGTGTAAAAAGCCGTTGAAGCCGCTGCCGGTAGTGTCGAGCATAAGCTCCGGTGGCGTTACCACGAGCACGGGCAAGTCGAAGAGGGCACGAAAATCTACGAGGAAAGAATCGTGTATACGCGGCCATGTGAACAGCCTCTGGTCCGTCTGGTACGGCATCCTGGCTGTCGCTTTTCAGGCGTACATAGCAATGAGATACGCCAGACGATTCGCCGGTAAGATATAGCTCTACTCCCGTTTTATCTCGCTAAAATACGCCTCTCTACGGGATCGATTACGTTAACAACATCGGATTATCCGAAAATCTTCTTTTATTGGACCAGTGATTTCGTTTCCAAATAAATTACCTATTTACTGTCACGCACAACTGAATCGAATCTGATAGCAGATAGATGATGGTAATCTCTCGCCAATGTGTACTGTACCTTCGATGGAATCTCCGTAATGCTTTCGATCCCTTTTTTTTTTATATCAATACGAAATTACATCGACAACAACGATGTACTACTTTCATATCTGCAGAATTATTGGATTTATAACTTTAATTAATACTTTATGAAATAAAACGAACAATGTAACAATTATGAAATTATATTAGCCACTTCGAAGAGTTTCTCCTCCTCTTTCGTTTTGTTAATTTAATCAGTAAAACTTCTGGACGAGGTCTCGAATGGTTCGCTGCCTTTCCTTATTTTCCGGCTGTTTCCGACGGCGGTTTTGCGTAAATTTCTTTTCTTGGCAGCTGGTACGAGGCTTTCGTTACTGTAGGTCGTTACATAAAAGACACACGGTAGAGACGGAATTGCCAGCGAAATTTTTCGTGCTCCCTCTATCGTTTTCCGAATCGAGAAGAGATCTTATCTCGCTCATCTCGATGAGATAACAGAAAATCAGAGAATTGTTAGTTAAGTAGATTGTAGATCCAAGAAATCGTAAACGAATGAACCTAAATTAATAGGATATTAACGTTGCTTCCTGATAATTCTTTAATCAGCCATAAATTTAGAAGTAACGAATGATTTTCCTTTTCTCTATTATCCTTTTTTATTTAATCACTTGTGATATCAAGAAACCGATTCAATCGTTCTAGAGATTATCTCCACTTGGCGCTTCGAAAAAAAAACTTTTCTTATTGTAACTAGATTTAAAATAGAAGTTAATATAATGTTATGTACATAACATCTTAAGAAACAAATTTAGTTAAACAATAGTAATAAAATTTCAAAATAAATAATTTTTTTTTTATGTCGGGTGAATATGCGCGTCATACTTTATATATTTCCCTTATGAGGACCTGATATAATTTTACAAGGGCCTGATTGTGATAACTTATAAGGACTTTATAGAAAAACTGCGTTACACGATTACTTAGGTACCGATAAGGCAATAGTATCAGTTCCTGACAACTAAATCAGACAAATATTATATGGTCCTTATTTGGACCCTAGTTTAATTTCCAGTCGGGGTTTTTTCACGAAAACAATTTACAGTAAGTTAATACAGTTTTCGTAATTAATATAGAAAAAAATCAAGATTTTAAATCAAGAGGCTAATTTGTCTTTTAATACGTCAATACCGATTCACGTGCTTCTTTTTAAATATATCGTAGCATATAATTTTTTAATTACGCTTTTTGTATCATTTCTTTAGCTTACCTGTCACTACCATGGCCAGCGGACGCACCACCTCCTAAAATCGAACTGTACGCCTGCTTGGTGCTAGCCGGTACCGGAGTCGTTCTACTTCCGGTGCTACTTGGTGCGGCGTTCTTGAAGCTCGGCAATCTCGCGAACGACGGAATAAAACTAGGCCGACATTTGAGCGCTTGTTCGCGCGACCCGCCCTCTTCGCTTCTCACTAATAATCCCGATAACAGTAAGTAGACAATAATTTCAGAGCTTCAAGAGTATATATAAAAAAAAACACGTGATAAGTATTGTAGAACTTGTAATTATAGTCAAGTGATCTATTTTTAAGACATAAAATCAATAGCCACTATATTCATCTTCATAAATATGAAAATGTTGATAGAGTACAGAACTTTTGTGTTTAATTATACTATCGATATCGTGTTTTATAATTATTTACATATATTTTTTAACCAATTTAGTATTTTACATATTTATATAACTAGATATATTTTTATTTTGTGTAATTATAACACATAAATATTGAAAATATTGAAAATAAAATTTAAAGAAACGGAAATCAATACCATTATCTTACAAGGAAATTCACGAAGGTGTTTCTTTCTGATTTTGATAAGCTTTTAGTATAGAAAGGGGTGTTTCGCCCGTTAAACACACATATATATAGGCACGGATAAAAAAAATACATATCCCTTATTTTCATCTAGAGAACGACATACTAAAAGCTCATCAAAATCGGAGAGAGACACTTCCGTGGGTTTCCTTGTCGGACATTTAATATATTATTAGATTGAAAGTTTGAAACAGAGATGAGCAAACTAAGTCTAATAGATTTGTTCAAAACTATATAAATAGGTTCTATGCGAATTTTTATCTATTCGAAAGTTTTAAGAAATTTTTGTTTACGCTACTGCGCATAAATTACAGTTTATCGTGTCTGTTGTATCAATCAATTGACGCAATTAAAGGGTAATTTATTTATTTAAATAACATCGCAAAGAAAACCGAATAAGATAGAACTAACATCTGTTTCACGTTTTAAAGATGATTGATTGATCCTAATTACAATGTATAACTTCGGAAAAGACGCTGAGCAGGGTGATAACTACTCTTTTTTAGGTCTAGTGAATAATTTATGGAGACACGGTGGTCCTACGGCGGCCTTCGTGCATCTCTGCACGGCCATGTGCTTCCTCCTACCCTCTCTGCTCATGGAAGCGAGGCTAATACACGCTGGATTTCTGCCAAAAGGTAATATAAATGTCTCTGCATTGCTGCTTGTTACGCTTCTTCTGCGCTTAAAGGGGAAACACAATTCCTCCGCGGAAAAATATAAAATAAAATATAAAATAATTAATATTACATCCTATCTTCATTATTTTCTATCATATTAAACAAACTATTAATGCGCCACGAGAGGAGAGAGCATCGTGTAAAATAGATCTATACTTTTTTTTAAATAATTTAAAAAGGATTTGTCTTCGAACGATCTTAAATTATGTTGTTTTAGATTGGGGAAAGTGCACGAACTCGTCGCACACTTCTTTCATGTTTTTTTCTTTGAAATTCTTTAATTAAAGACTTGATGTTAAAAATTTGCTTCAAAGATTTGATATTAAAGACTCGGTGTTCTCGATGCCCTGAGAATTAGACGTAAAGATAAACTGACTTTATATTGCGTTTAACTGGTAAGATAACCGCTTTCTCCGCATACACTTTATGAGCTTGCTATTTTATGAGCTTCAATGAAATATTCCTATCATACTTCTCGCTAAAATACTTTCGCGCGATTTCGCGAGTCTCCAACATCTCTTTAATGGATGAGATACCGACGAGATATAAATAATTTTGCAGATTATTTTTACGTTTTGCGATAAAATAGTTCAGTGATTTCGCCCGTAAATCGAGCTTCCTGTCAAATAGGAACGTGGTGCCGCGCTTTCATTTCACTTTTAAAAGCGCGGTTACCCGCGTTCTCAGGCAAAATTGCATGAGTAATCGTTGACGTTGTCGACAGAAGCGGGCGTACACTTTGACGTACCACGATTCCACGCTCGCTGAATTTTCACGGGGGACACCGCGGCAGATATATAACGCGAAGGAAAACAATGAGAGCCACGTGCGAGACCGAGCATCTTTCCGCGATCACTTTTCCGGAGCTTTCCATTTCGCGTACGCACCCTCGCTTGTGCAAACAATAGGATAAGAGGGTTCGGCGAGAGAACCTACTAGCTGTTTGTTAATGCAGTACGCATTTGAAAGTACTTTCGCTCTACCGATCTGCAAATGTCGTTTGATATTTAAACTAAATGAAATCTCTAAATAAGAGTGATAATTTGATAAATCCAGTTATTTCAATGAATAAAATTGGATAAATGCAATAACGAAACTTTATATCTTGTTTCATTAAGACACTCTATTGCGATTTATACTGCAATTTATTTTGCAAGAAATTTTTGCGTTTACTTAAGATCTTATAAATTGTACACTGTTAAATGTTAAAGGATGAGATTTAAACCAATACCTTGAGTTAGATAACATTTTGTTATTTTTAACCCTAGAATCCATGTATCAATTTTTTTACCTTCTAATCCATGACTGGGGGCAGTATCGACCCCACGCTGTATTTGATCGTAAAACCGGTTCTACAGAAATAAAGGGCCTTTAAACCTACATGAATTTCTTCGTTTTTTAATAACGAAGAGAATGGTATACGGTAAATTTAATTTTACTCAAGTTTAGTTAGTGAAAAAAGCCATTTAAAGACCGAAAAATGCAGAAAATCAGCAAAAACCTCTTTTTTTAAAGTTTGCCTGGGGTCGAAATCGACTCCTCTCATGGATTCTAGGGTTAACTACCATGTGCATCAAAACTTATTACTTTAAAACTGAATAGTATTATTTTAACTCCATTGTTTAGTGAAATTAACATTGTTTTAGTTAAATTAACTATACGTATTGAGTAGGAGCAGTGCATGGCGATCTATAGGAATGGTTAAAAATTACTCAAATTGAGTATAATTTTACCCTATGAATTTAACAATGTATATAATATTTTTTTTTTTTTTTAAAGACAATTTAATTTTTATATTTTATTTTCCTTTTTTGACCCTAGAAATTACTTGAATTTTGGTTAAATAATTCTACACGCTTCCCCACGCATATAAGAAAGAATTGGATGGTAATAATTTATAGAATTTATAGAATAAAAAGGAAAAGATTACCATCTAAATATTCTAATACTTCCAGTGATTTTATTTCATCTAACTGGAAATTTTATTTCTTTTTCTCCTCTCACAGAGTTTATATTAAATTTATTCTTTTAAATCTCTTTACTTATTGTCAGTGTATAATTAGAAATTGTTTGTCCACACAACGTTAATCGATACAACGCAACCCATCATCTCGCAAACTTTAAATTGTTCGGCAGATGATGAGCTACATCAGCTAATTTGGCGAATGTACGTTAATCTCATAAATTTTGGCGAGTGCTCGGCTAGCGCAGGTAATAATCTCCATAATTAAAGCGCCACCCGTGAAGTTACGTTCGAACAAATACAACGTTCGCATCCGTCGTAGGTTGTTATTACCGAAACTGCTAAATACGTTCGTCGCGAACATGTTAAAACGGAGCAACCGGACGAATGTTTCGTCGGACGTGTTAACACATTGAGCGCTCGCGCGCCTCAAAAATTGCGCTGTCTCGCAACGTGATCGAAGTTTCCACATTCTGTCTGCCGGCAGGACGATAATGCCAAGCTAGTTTCTCGGTTCCGGAAATATCATCAACCGCCGAGCAGAAGGAAAGTTTCTACATGGTTTCGCCCATCTCGCTCGGCGAGCGAGCACTCGCGTCGACCTGAATAAATGCGTTTCTACGTCGAAGGCTAAACTCGATAAGCCGCGATTTACGGCAGAGATTCCTTGACGCATAAAATGAGAAATTTAACAGGCATCTATACACGAGTTTCGAGCTCTCGTTTTTTAATACGTGTGATGATATCAAGATGTTTCGGCGCCTACTGAGATTCGATGCAGATATTGAAACTACCGAGAACACAAACGTTAGGTAATATGAAGAATATATCTAGCATATATGATGACATCCGCAGTTGATTTTTTCATTATTATTCATGCCATAGTTACGAGAAAAAATAACGATACGCGAAGAACGTATTTCTCTTTTGGATTCTATTGATTTTCAAAATTTATAATCCAAACCCGCAGTTTGTTTGAATAAATAAGTTATGTATAGATAGTACGCAGACGGCAATATTGTTGTCACATTGCCTTTTTAATCTTTCCATTGCGTGTGATCGCGCAATATATCACATTGCAAAGAGAAATTTTTAAGCAGATGCAGCAGTGGCAGTTTTAGCTTCGCCGCCGCGGCGATAACATACACAGTAGTAAACTCGTCGATGTCACACAGGCGAAGGTGTGCAGTGAACATTATTCATTCCCACATATCTGAACCACATTAGTCCGCAACTGTAAACTGTAAGTTTGCTTTTTCGGCAGGAAAATTATTCCAGGACACTATAGAAAATATCTCTTCAAATTTATTTGCACGATAGTGCACTGTGAAAAACGAAACGTGCAGTATTGCCTTAAAAAATAAAGAAATGTGTCGATAATGCATCTAAATGCGTTTCTCCCAATTTTTTAAGGATGAATAGGTGTTTGTGTACAAATTATTATATATTCTTTAATAATTGTTATATTTTATATAAATAAGGATTTGTTGAACATTTTAAAAGCAGTATTTGCTAAATTTTTTTACTGAATTAATCATATTAGTCTGCATTATTTACGGCATTTATGCAATTATTAATTTTTTTTGCAGTAGCGCGTCTTGTATAGGAAACTGACGAATTATGTATTTACGACGATTTTTAATTCTGTGCTTATAAATATAGCAAAAACGTTTTTGCAGCGCGGCATATCAGCGAAACGCGTTTTCCAGCGGATTGTTAATTAAATGCCGGAAAATCAAGTTTAATCGCATTTCTACGTTCTCCAATCCCAGACCGCGTACGGTCGATTTTGAAATATCGACGCAGACAGGCGGTGCTTTCGGACTTCAGCCGCATTAATACAGGGAGTCAGTATATGTGTATACACGCGCGCACGTCGAAAGGTATCCGACGTAATGCACCACCGGCGCTTGCAAATAGGTATCATTCGCAGCGCACATTAAGCTCACTCGTAATTACGGTAAAGTGACGTACGTAGTCTGCTCCGACGGGACGGCGCGCGGCGGCCGGTGGTAACGTCGCTCGTAAATGCTCGTCCGCCGCGCGCATTCACTCTCTACAGTTAACAACACGCTGGGTCACGCTCGCAAGAACTGCGAAGGCTCGATTCGACCGGGAGATACTTTCAGGTTTTTCTACCGGCTTCCGCCGCTTAATTACTGGCGATGTCTCATCCGGCGGAGAGAATTGTTCACAAAATTAAAATCTTTAACTCCCAGTTGTACAAACTGGTGCTGTGTGCTTTCCATCCTTTTTCCATTCTTGACCGTCTGCAACGGACTCTTTCCGCGAGCCAGGATTAATTATAGACTGAAATGCAAACGATGTCAAGTGACAAGAACATTTTTCATACTTTTCATTCTATTTCTGTCCACTCTGCGATGTGCAAATCTATTGTTCTTTCCTTGACAAATATTTATTAAACTTCCACCATTATACATATATTATTTATTTCTTTAATTTGCAACTTGATTTTTATATTTAAGTTTATCTTTTTTAATAATAAAAATTATTCGAATTTTTAGTCAAACAGTTTTACACGTTTGCACGCTTATAAGAAAGAACTGTGTGAAGCGATAATAATTTATAGGATCATAAATTAGAGAAAGGTTGTCATCTAAATGCACTTCCGATAACTTTATTTCTCTTCCTCTATCACAGAATTATATAAAATTTATTTTTTTAAATTCGTCTTGTTTAGTGAATAAGACAGAAATTATCTGTCCACGCAATGTTTGTGTATTGAAAATAATTTTTCTAGCGCGTGTATCATACCATAAATTTATTTATGGACTATTAATATATTAGTTTCTTTTATCTTGTTTTGTTGAAAAATTATAAAATTGCATTTTATTTTATTCATTTTTACGCGTAATTTCTAGCTCTAAAAAAGATGTATTTTGTAAAATTTAAAATTAACGATTACATAGTTATATTTTAATCGACATTGCAGGTATATATACGCAATTAGTCACGATTCATTGTGCATGGTGTC